TTCCAAGAAAATTTAAAATATTATCCCAAGTGAAGCAGCCAAGAAAATATTATTTTTATTGTAGCAACGTGGAAATAGCCTTCCTATAAAATGAAAACCACAATTATTTTTATCAGATTCAAGGGTAGCTTCACATATAAAAGGAGAAATTTCTGCCATTTTGTAACATGGACACCACAAAGAATATGTGAAGAATGTATTTACCAGGATGATGAGTTCTGGACAAATACTTTTCCAAAACATGACATATCTACATTCTGTATTCTCCCAGAAATTGTTGATTTACGAATACAGTGTTACATGGAAATAAGAGACCTATCATACATAAACAAAACTAAAAATAGCCTTAGGTTTATATGGTAGATTTAGATTACAAATTGGAACAGTATATCTGATAAATTGTGGTGTGTTAACACTTCAACTATACTTAGGTCAATTGGAAATTAACTCCTCTTTAGAATTTTTCTCTATGAACCGAAAGTATTAAAGAAATAGATTGTCATCAAGACTCCAATAATCAATAACCCTGAAAGCTAAAGAAGAAAACAATGGGACACCACTCAGTCCAGTAAGCCAAGAATGTAAACATTGTAATACATGCATTTTGCTTTATGAATTAGTTTGATGGAATACCCTTGCAGTTAGAAGATGGACAACTACAAGTCTTTTGCACAAAAATACTAATCCAAAATCAATAAGCTGTACTTATAAAAGTCATGTTTTATCACATTAATTTCACTTTCATTCTGCTTCATTATTTTGTAGCATTACTCAATGACAAAAGAGGCATCTCCAATATGTCAAGCAAGTGATCACCCCAAAAGAAAAGCTAGAGCTTCAGGAGTTGGTTAAGCTCCTGTATATTCCTGTGGTTCCTCACTTCAAAACTCAGAAACTGCTGATGACAGTATTCTGCAGAAGAAGTTTATAAAAGCCTATCTACTATGTCCAATGCCAACTGAGATATCATAACATACAGCTCACCTCAACGCCTAGTATGTTTTCATAAATACCAAAACAAAGAACAGTCTATATATAAAGGCCACTATCCACTGTGAAGGACTGACAGCCTAGACTATAGAAAAACCAAGGAACCAGTGAGAATCAGGAACTTTCCAAGATTATAAAATCTTTCAAACATGTTTCACTGCAAATTAAGTCGCACTCTTCATCTATCGAATTCCTGCTGCATTTACTAAATACAATTCGAGTTACAGCAATTTGCTGTTAAATAAAATTGTTAAGCTTTGTTTCATGGAGACTAAGTTTATACACACTCCAATTAGTTATATTACCTTTCTGTTCTTGAAGTTTTAACAATATAGTTGTCTTCTAAAATCAAATGGCTGAATAACAATCTCTCAAGCTTTTTTTAAAGCTTTTGAAAGGATGAAATAAAATATAAACATAAAATCTGCAGGCACTCATCATCCTGTTCATAGCAGTTCAGACAAGAAAAAATATTTTTATGTGGTGCAACTTACTAATACATCAAATACTCTCAATCTCTCAAGCTTTTTTGAAAGGATGTAATAAAATATAAACATAAAATCTGCAGGCACTCATCCTTTTGATAGCAGCTCAGACAATAAAATACAATATTTTTATGGGGTCTAACTAACTAATAAATCAAACACTCGTATTAACTCTCTAACTATAGACAGGTCAATTTGCGAATATCACGACATTTTAGAATTACATTCAAATTTTAATTAAACTACTTTATTATCATGGTATGTGAATAAACTTGGCATCAAAAATAGCTAAAAAAATCAAGTTTTAATTTTATATAAGTTTTCAGTTCTTAATTTTATAAGAAAATATTTTAAAAAATCCTCAATCTTTTCTAGTATGAGATTTGTGACATTTACTCTTTAAGTCTTCCCTCTTCTCCATTTACCAACTCTCCGAGAAGTACAGAATTTAACATAAATTACTCTTTATTATATATTTATTACACGGGCAAAGCATATTTTTTATAGCTTTCATTCTTATTTGTCTATGGAGCTATAAACTAGAAAAACAGATCCATTTGCAACACACACTTGTCACATCGTCTCTTTCAGAAATTTTTAATAGTTCTCTCTGAAATTTAGTACTATATTATTTACAACCAAAAGAAGCCAAAGTTTTAATCTATCAAATAACATATTATATCACATGGTTTTCATTCTCACAGGAAACACATCTACGAGCTTAACTCAATTTTTAACAGCTCTTATCACGCAGTCAGAAAGCCAAAAATATTATGATAGTTACAGGACATTATCTACTTTTTACATATTATTATCCCTATCGCCCCTGGTACCTATTAATGTGCATGACACAGGGATTTAGTGTCTTACATTTAAAATTTTATTAAACTACTTTTTGTTTATGTTATACCAATTAGAATAGTATAAAATTTTAGATAATAATCCATATTTTAATAGTATACAAGATTTAGGTTCTTAATTCTACAAGGCAATATTAAAAAAAATCCTGAATTTTCACTAGTGTGACCCACGTGACACATTTTCTCTTAGCATGTCATCTTTCCTATTTGATCCACCACCCCTCGAAAAAAAGTAAGAAATTAAACATAAAATACTCTCCACAAAATTGTTATTGATCAAACAAACTATAATTTTTATAGCCTTCAATTTTGTTTGTTTACAGAGCTATCAAAGAGAAAATCAGACCCTTCCTGCCACACCCACCTGTCACATTCTCTATTTCACAAAATCGTTGATAGTTCTCTCTCTTATGTTTCATTATATATTACCTATAACCAACAGAAAGTCAAGGTTTTCATCTATCAAATGACATATTGTATAATGTGTATTGTGAACAGAAGATCATCAATTTCCTTCATAGTGTAAGATTTGTTCCTGTGGAAAAGTTAACGACTAGCTTGGATGAATTTGTAACGTCTCTTATTG